GCCTCGCGCGGGAATTATACGCATCGTGAGGGAAATTTATGAAGCCTCAAACGTATGCGCTTTTCACCGGGATACCGGGCCGGTGGAGCTCGTGCAACCCCACGGCCGCGGTATAACCGTATTAAAATGCGCATCTATAAATAATTCTTCTTTCGCGCGCGCGCGTCTCCTCCTTCGTGACGGAGGACGGGCGGGAGGGAGTGGAGATCTAATTAACGCGCTTTTCATCGCCCAGACTGGCGGCCGGCGCGACGGGGATAAGTGCACGAGAGAGAAACGACGCACGCTTGCCCGTCGCTCTCGTCTTCGCGGGGTATTACCCGGCTTTACGTTCGACACACTCGCGAATCCTGAGGAGGAGACGAGCGAGCGCGCGCGCGCGCGCGCGCGCGTGGCTAGTTCGAAGCCGTAAGGTTCGCCGTAAGCGGGCGGATCGAATTTTCCGGCGGGAAATTTCATCGGGGATTCTGCATGCGCGGGAAAACTCGATATTCCGCGGTAAGCTGTATTTCGTAGGCGGTTGATAAATATTCCGCGCGTCGATACATCTCGCGCTCGACGTGCGTATATATAACCGCGTATAGAATAACGGATGAACGCGCGCGCGTCCTAAGCCCGCTCGTAGTCCGCAATCGTAATGATAATCGATGGCGCGCGGTCCGGGATGCAGCGCGGCGACCGCTTCTCGGTATACCTGAGGTGTACCTGAATGTACCTTGATATATACGGTCGGCAATATGCAAAACAATTCTGCTTATATATCACGCCGCCGGAGAGGAGCGCTCGCTCGTCTGTCTGCTGCTCGCTCTCTCTCTCTCTCTCTCTCTCTCTCTCTCTCTCTCTCTCTCTCTCTCTCTCTCTCTCTCTCTCTCTCTCTCTCTCGTTTGTCCGTATGTACGTACACACGTTCGTTGTGTAGCGAAGCGGCGTTTGACAGAGCAATGTTTTCCTGCCGGCAAAACGTGCAGCACTCGATCGCGCGAAATGGACCGAGGGCGCGAACGCGAAGGTGTGCGCGCGCGCGCGCGAGAGAGAGAGAGAGAGAGAGAGAGAGAGAGCCCGGGCCGAGCGAAGCGGGAACAAAAACGACAAGCGTGAGTTGCGGCGCGTTACGACGTAATGTAAAGGCCACGAGGCGTCCTGAGCGAAAAAGTTTTCTCGTTATCCATCCATCCGCCCGGAGACCGTCGGGCGAAAAAAGGCCGGTAAATTGCGGATCCGCAATTCCGCCAAAGCGACTGCTCCATACGGCGACTGATCCATACGGATGTTTCAATCGCGACGACGACGACGAAGACGCAGACGGAGACGACAGCGGCGGCAGTGTTGCCCCATAATCCGCGGGCGCGTCTCATTCACGGCCTCAATCCCGACGATCCCTTCTGTGTACCGACAAAATGAGGCGTTGAGAGCGACGGAGCGGATCGAGTCTGAGTAATATCCGCCGCAGGACGCAGGACTTTGTGTTTTAATTGGATCTCTCTCGGCTCTCTCGGCTAAGTATCGCGATAAGGATACCGCTCGCCGCATACGCCGGATCGACGGACGAGCGCTATAAATATTTCACCATCAAACTCGCCATAAATATTTAACTCGCGTCCGAAATATATTTCACTCCGTCGGTCGTGCCATCGTCACTCTTCTTCGTTTGTGTCTGCCCACCTCTCCCTCTCTCGGTTACTCTCTTTTCCTCCCTTTTTCTTCCTCTTCGCCCCCTCCCCCCTCCTCCTCCTCTCCCGTCCGCTCTCTCGTCCTGTCGTCGGTGTAAATAAATTTACATCGCAGTCGACGCGACGTATCGAAGTTTCGCGCCGTGGCGGCGCACTCGAGGTATTTCGCGCAATTTACAGCGTCTTACGGCGCGATAACGCGGAGACGAAATTGCGGGATTGCAGTAATTGGCTCGGGGGATTAACGCTCGCGCCCGTTCTCGCGATCGTTCCCGACGTGCTGCAATTTCGAGAGCGAGAAAACGCGATTCGTAATTTCGCGCGCGGCGCAGCAACACTCGCCGAAGCAACGGCGGCGACGCGCGTAAATATATCGAGCGTCGCAAAGTTAAATAACGATCGCTACGAGATGGAGAAGGAGAGACAGACAGACAGACAGACAGAGAGAGAGAGAGAGAGAGAGAGAGAGAGAGAGAGAGAAATCGCTGCTACATTCGTCGAGTGTGGCGGACGATTCCGTGCGAATTGATACCGACTGACCCCGATATCGAATTGGCCGATTTCACTCCCGCGACCGCGAGGCCACGGTCGCGCGAATCGCGAAATCATTTTCGCCCGTGATATATCCCGCCGGCGCGTCGCGCCGCAGTTACTTCAACGCCAAGCGCGCGAACGAGTCGCGCCAACACGCTGGCGGGAACTGCGAGCGGTTATTGGCTGCAGGAGGCAGAGGGAAGGGAGGAGGAATCATCGGACATCCATCGATCCGCCTCTTGTCGATATGAATATCTATTAGACGTAATTGATGTCTACCATCAGGCGTAGCGAATGTCGCAGTAAACGTCAAATCGGCCTCGCCTCGCTCTGACTGATCGGTGTTGTGAAAACGCTTCGGCTCCGATAGACGAGCTGCCAGCGGATTGTCTCCTGAAAAAATTTCGCTGTCGTTGGAGCCATCGGAGATATCGAACCGCGCTCTCGTTCTCTCTCTCTCTCTCTCTCTCTCTCTCTCTCTCTCTCTCTCTCTCTCTCTCTCTCTCTCTCTCTCTCTCTCTCTCTCTCTCTCTCTCTCTCTCTGGTCGCTTCGACCGGAGCGTATTGGCTGTATGCGCTGTGTGTATCGGAAATAGCTGGATAAAACCGGGGGATTTTCCCGCAGCACGTCATTTCAAATTTAATTGTTTTAATTCCGATTGCGAAATTCCCCGCGAGTCGCGCAATGAAAGCTTGTTTCAGCTGTAATTGTTTTACGTTGTACCCTTTGACGAGGACCTTGTTGCGTTTTCTTTTTCTCTTTTTCTCTCTCTCTCTTTCTCTCTGTCTCTCTCTCTCTCTCTCTCTCTCTCTCTCTCTCTTTGCATTCTCCCTCTCCATTCTTTTCGAGAAAGTGACGTTTGGCTAAAACAGAAGAAAAAAGATACGGCGAAAAAGAGAGGAGTAACGATCGCGGGCACGTGTGTTCTTGGTTAATTAGAGCTCTGTAGCGCGTCGAGTAGTGCAAGGAGGTAAAGAGCTATCGCTCGGTTCAGATACTTAGCAGGCAAAAGGAACTTTCAACGTGTCGGGTCGACAGCAAGATTTAGATGCGGTAATAAGTTAAAGGGACGGGAAAAGAGAAAAGTGACGCGGCTGGCGAGGAAGGCGGGGGCGGTCTGCGAAGTTTGTGGGAGTGATAGGAGGACAGTAACGCATTTAATGAAAGAGTACGGGTGAGGGGCATGAGGTGGAGACGGAGAAGGGGCAGAAAAAGGAAAAGATGTTGAGTACTGAGAGAACGACGAGTTAAATTGGATGGAAGAAGTGATGAGAAAGGGAGAGAAGGGGAGAGAGAAAGAAAGAGAGATAGCCGCAGAGAGAAGAGGGTAAAGATGAGACACGGGGGGGGAGGGGGGATAGAAGAAACGGGGAATACAGAGAGAGCGAGACGATCAAATTTAGGAGGCGGCGCAAAGACAACGCTAATGTGGAAATAATTAAAGTCGCGAGATTAATGCACCGTTGTGCACAAATGCTCTGCGGTATGTTAATTGGAGGGCATTAAGCGCCGTAATACTTATTTCGGTCTTTCTTTCTTTCTCCGAAGGCAGATCGCGGATGATGAATGATCGCGCGAGCGATAAAAAATTTCGCGAGACGGAAATGTATGTGTGCGCGTGTGTGTGCGTGCGTGTGTGCGTGTGTATGTGTGTGTGTGTGTGTATTGGCGCACTCGGCAAATACTTTGTAATTTCCCTCGCGGCGACAGATACGTGTGCATCGTTAATATTTCCATTATCATTATTATCGTTGCAACGTCCATCGTACAGATGAGCAGCAAATTGTTAATATGAATATTAATGCGCTCGCTGGTGGAGCATTGTCAATACGAAATACCGTCGATATTATCATAATTATTCTAATATTAGTTAACAAGATATTTAACTGGATGCATGCATGTACATGCGCGCGCGCGTTTGGCCAAAATTGATTCACAGTTCGTTTACGAATCGCGGCGGGAGATTAATTCCGCGTCCAAGATATTATCCCATTCTGTACACACGGTGTCCAAATATCCATGTCATCATATCCAGCATCATCGTAACCGCTGCCCGGACCCTCTGTAAACAGGAAGAATAGACCTACGAGCAAAATAGCCGCGAATCGATTTCTGCACGAACATGCACACACACACACACCACACACACACCCCCCCCCCCCCCCCCCCCCCCACACACACACACACACACACACACACACACACACACACGTCAGCTTGTCTATCCTCAGCGCGAAACTCCCGTTCACCTCCGGCGCGACTCGTTGAAACTCACGACGCAAAATTGTCGCCTTCGCAAGTCTCTCGGCGCCTTGCCGTGCCGCCGGCGGGACGAATTTCAATTTGAAGGTCATAAAGAACGCCACGTCGCGCGCGCGAGTAATTGACGTTCCCGAACATCCGCGCGGCGAACGTACCGCTCGGACGTCGAACGGAAAAACCTGCGCGTCGACCCGGCGATAAATCTCCGCCCTGGGCACGGTTGCGCGCTCGCGTTTCGAACGCACCGCGGAAACAGCGCGACGCGACCGGTGATGCCGTCGACGAGCCGATTCGCGATACCCAGTATTTACAAGCGGGCTCGAGCCGTGTCCGGGACGATGCTCGCGCGCGTGTCGAGTTCTCCTCTCCACCTGCGGGACACCCGAAATCCTGTCGACGAGTTTCGCCGTTCGACACCCTCCTCTGTCTCTTGCCGACCACTCTTGGTCACCGCCGCCGCCAGCACCGTCGGGAGGCGCTCGCTCCCACCCTGAGCGACCGATGGTCGGAATGAGAAAAGAATCGACACATACCTGAAGTATTCCACGTATCTGTCCGCTCTTGGTCTCGACGATGCGCGAGGCGTAGCGGGTCACTGGCTGAGAGGCTGCCCGGCCGTTGCCGGTCAGGCTTGACAGGACGATCAGGAAGACGACGAGTCCTATGCAGGAGCTGCGGATAGACCTGGGTCCGATCGGACTCCTCGCGGCCAGCGGCCGGCTCCGGGCCGCCGGCTGGCATGGCAGCAGCATGACAGCATTTGCTGGCGGCCACCTGCAGCGACGCCACCAGCATAACCGTGCGCGGCGACCTTGGTCGTCGAGGTGTCGGTGAGGACAGCCGAGGTCTCGAGAGAGCCGGCCGGGGCGGGGGGCGAAGGGGGGGCGAAGGGGGGGGGGAGGACGTGTCACCCTGGGGGAGAAGGAGCGCGAATTCGCCGCGGACGGCCCCGCTAATTCGCCCGGTCGCGCGACTTCCTCGTGCCGCGGTCCGCCGCCGTAGTCCGCTCGTGCATCGCGCTCGCGACGCCGCTTTTATTCCGCCGACCCCGACCGACCGTGGTCCAAGTTAAATTGCTCTCTCAAAACATCTCGGATGAGAATGGCTCGGGCTCGCGCCATGGGTTGCCCAGCTCGCGCTCGTTCCGTGCACGTCGAGATGCGGCGGGACGTTGTTGGGCGGCCACTCGGCGAGGACGTCGGTCTGTAAGCACAAACGAGAATCCGATACAGCGTTTTGTGTACGCTTGTGTGTGTGTGTGTGTGTGTGTGTGTGTGTGTGTGTGTGTATGTGTGTGTTTGTGCATTTGTGCACCGCACCCGCGGCACTTCTCGTTTCTTTTCTCAGCGCGAGCGGCACTCGCGCGCCGCGCGTTTATTAAAGCGACGAGATAGAGATTAAAATCGATCAGATCGCCGTTGCTCTAGCGAGAGATCAGCGAGCAGACTCGCGCATCCCGGCCTGTTCCGCCGCGGGGACGCGCTGGAATCCACTCCGCGTTTGTACAACCAAAGCCGTCATCCGCGGGAATGGGCTTTTGTCCACTCTTATAATTACAACAATAGGCTTATCTGTGCGAACGCATCTCTCCCGGGGATTGCCATTCGTCATTTCTTGCTTCTCTCTCTCTCTCTTTTTTTTATTTTTTTTTGTTAAAAAATCGTTGATCCATTGGATGCACCGCGTCCGGTTCCGCGGTGAATCTCTCACACTGCATGAGGCACGTGACGCGACACGATGCGGCGATCCGATCGATCGTCGGCCGCTTCTGAATTTACAAAACTCGGGGCGCGCGCGAATCTCTCGAGTACGCGGCGTACAGCGCGACTAAAGCGCGCTTGTTAATTGATTCTGCCGTGCGATCCAGGCGGCAACGAAGTTGCGTCTCGCTAATGAAATCCGAATTTATTTCTCGAACGTCCAGACGACGGGGCTCGCTAAATCATTCTCATTCGTATTTTTTCTCTCTCAAGTGTAAGTGTTCGTTCTGGTCTGACAGACGTTCGGAATAATTAACCGGGATAAAAGTTCTTCCCTCTCCTCCTCCCTCCCATAGCCAGGTAAATTGTGATCGATGCAAGATGCGTTTTCCTTTCTCTCTCTCTCTCTCTTCTTCTTCTTCTTCTTCTTCTTCTTCTTCTTCTTCTTCTTCCCTCTTCGGGGAAAATGACGAATTCAGTCGATCAGAATTGCGATCGCAGTCTCTTCGCTCGCGCGAGAGCTCAGTTCGCTCGAGAACTTCGCTCGCTCGTACGCAAAAAGCACCGTCGAACTCTCTCCGCCATCAGCGAGCAAACCACCAAGCGCTCTCAACGACGACGGCGACGGTGGCGGCCGCATTATCTTAAGTTCCGCGTGGCGTCGTGGAAACGAGAAGAACAGGGAAACGCGCGGAATATAGCGACTGGAGACGGCGCTTGATACCGCTTAGAGAAAGAACAAGGACCAGCTGCGGCCGGGCGAGGGAGGAGACGCGGGAGGGTTGATAGCGAGGCACTGATTGCACCGAGAAACTTACCCTCCCCGCAAGACATCTCGCTGATCAACCCTCTCCTTCTGGTTTCAATCTACTCTCGTTTCCGCACCGCCTACTCACCCCTCCCCCTTCCTCCTCACCCCGTCGCGGTGCACTTCTCCGCACCGTTTCTACTTAGGGTTAACGGCGACGGCGACGACGGCGACGACGGCGACTACGACGACGGCAACGGTGCCATGTCGTCGCTTCATCGGTCCGAACTTTCTCTCGCCGCGCCGATGGCTGATTTAAATTTTTAATCGCGACTACATTATCCATACCCCCGCGTCCCCCCCCCCCCCGATAGGAGTCTTTCTCTCTTTCTCTCTCCCTCTCTCTCTCTTCTCTCTCTCCGTTTCACTTTCTTTCTTCCTCTTTTCGCTGCCCGTTGACAGCAACAGCCGCGTCGGCGGCGCGTTTGTTAATTCGCTGCTGAAACGGGAAATGGATTAATTAGAAGGCAGATTGCGGAATTATACACGTAGTACGAACCAATTTCTCCGGTCGGTACAATCGCGAGAGCTGCGAGGAGGTAACGCGCGCGCGTCATCGCCGAGCGGCAATTTCTCACTCGAAGAGGCAGGGACCGCCGCGATTTTTGTTCTTTTCTTCTCGTTTGTTTCAATCGTCTGGTCGTTTGGCGAGGCGTCTTAATGGATTTTCTCGTTATAATGTCGCGGCGCGTGCGCGCGCATAAAAGAGACTCTCGTGGCGTACATAAATGATTAAACTCTTAAGTGAATCCACTTAGTCGGCGCGGTTATGTTTCGTCGCCGGTTGCCGAGGCCAGCCGGAGCAGCGTCGGTGGGTTTGCGCGTTTTACTCGCGTAATATAATTTATCTCGCGTAAATGGGTGACGAAGGGGGGGGGTGGGGGGGGTGGGCGGGCGAGCGAGCGAGCGAGCGAGCGAGAGGGAGGATCCACGGTTTCTTTTGGCAACGGCGTCACGCCGTACATCCTGTAACCATTCTGCGCGGTGTACACCGACATCTCGGTGGCGCGGAACGAAAAATTGACGACGATAATAAATACGGGACGGTCGCGCCACCGGAATAAGTTCTTACGATAAATTACAACTTTGATATTCAGAACTTTCCGGGCCCCTTCGCGGGAGAAATACGAGATAGGAGTTGCCCGCCGCTTCCGGCTTATTTTTCGCGATTCGACGCGCCGCCTCTTTCCTCTCCCTCTCCCTCCCGCGTCCCTCCTCCTCCATCACCCAATTGCGTCAGCAGGAAAGCGCGAATTATACTCGTCGCTTTGACCATCGACGTCACTCTTACCTCCACTGTCGGGCCCGATTGGAAATCCGCGAGAATTATTAATTGTAATCACGCGCGAGGAACGTTCCGACGAGAGCGGGCCGGGGAAAGGAAGGGAAGGGGGAGGAAGAGACAGAGAGAGGGAGAGAGACGGAGAGTCGAGAAGTCAAAAGTAGGCTCTCCGATCGCTATGGAGACCACGTGCGATTGCTTAATCCATTATGCATCTTGCCTAACCGATTTAACCGACAGCGCGATATCGATCCTAATGAAATCTCGGCGTAAGAGCGGTGTGTGATCGATAATCGCGATTAGATCGGCCGGCATGGGTCAACTCGGTTATCGCGTAGTGTGTGTAACGCGCGAGACTTTCAGTCGTTCTGGAATGGAACCGGGGCTAATTTAATTCAAGCCTCAATTATCGGCCGTACCGATCCCCCGGGCGGCTCTAACTTTCCCGCCGCCCTCCGCCTCCTCCTCCTCCTCCTCCTCCTCTTGCTTTCTGATATAGCTCGCTCATTCCCCAGAGGAGCGGCTCCAGGAATAGACGTGTAATATAACTGCGTTGCCGACCTCTCTCAACCTTGTACGTACTGCATCACTTTATCTTCGGTTTGACGTTTCATTCGCGTGCGCGCGCGCGAGCTAGCGAGGAAAATATCGACACCGACGAGAAGCTCTCTTTGGTTCTCTCAGGGTTTAATCTTATCATTTTTCCGGAACCCTATCAAGCCCCGACCCATGGATGTTTCGTTTCGGTAGCTTCCACGAGCGTCGAGACGCGCGTTGCCGATTCGGCTGATCGTCAGCCGCGAAAAAGGAAGGAATTAATATTCATTAAAGGGACTGGAGGGTCAGATTGCTGAAAAATCGTGCTTGTTTCTGATAATATTTTGTGACGAACTGAATGAATGTGCGAGAATGAAAATTTTAGGTATAGTTGTACAACATATGAAGAGCAGAAAAAATTTGTTTATTCACACATATATTCGTATAAATATACGATATATATAGCTGAAATATACTCTCCTTTTTTCTTTCAAGTTATCGTTTTTGCAATAATATCTCGGCTCTCAGTGGTGTCCGATCAGAGCGAATTTTAGCTAGAAATCTTGAGGAGGCTTATCATTATCCGGTGAACTACTAGAAAAAAAAATCGAACAAAATTAACAAAATGGCAGCTATTATTAGGAAAACATTCAAATTTTTCAGTTCTTTTACAATAAAAAAATTAATATCTCGAAATGAAATATTTTGACGGAGTTGTCTATAGTTCGCCTGAGAGCCGCATGAACAAACATTATTGCTTTAAAATTTCAAATCGATACGAAGCTCAGTTTCGGAGAAATCACTGCAAAAAGTTGAACAACAAAATTTCGAGAAAAACGCGCTTAAAATTTAAGTGGACGTACATTTATATGAGTATCTGTTTAAAAACAAAATTCGTCTACTCTTCGTATGTTATATAAATGCATGTAAAATTTTCATTCTTGCACATTTATTCAGTTCGTCACAAAATCATTATCAAAAACAAGCACGATTTTTCAGTAATCTGACCCCTTAATCATCCGTGGGAAATAGTAGCGCGCGTGGAAAAGGGGGGAAGGGAGCAGCACGATGGTGCATGTGATTAATTTTAGGGCGTATGGGAATTGTTCTCGGAATTCTTACGGTGCACTGCGACGAGTCCTCGAAATAGTTTAATCTCGAAATAGATATACGACAAAAGTTTTCAACCGTCTTCTTTCTCTCTCACTCTCTCTCTCTCTCTCACCCTCTCTAGATTTTTTCTTCCTCTTTTTTTATTATAGTCGAATTGTAACGTTGACTGATGAAAGCGCCCCCGTTATTGCGCTGTCTCTGCCAGCGTATTATTTCAGTTTTTGCAATAAATTCAAGCTGACATTTCGCCCCGCTGAAAATCCCACGACAGCGGTGATTCTATCCTTTTCGGCGGAGAAAGAGAGAAAGTGAGGAATGGAGGAGAGGAAGAGGTAAATTTTTGTCGAGAGCTTCTCGCTTCTTAACATCGCCGGTAATTCGCTCGTGCGGACTTAGTGAGTTTCCCAGATTCCTCAGAACGGTCTTTCTGAAGCGCTTCGCGGATTGGACGCGGTGCGAGAGGAGGCCCCCAAGAAGACGACGACGGTGACAACGACTGCGACGACAGCGACGACGCCGTCGACATTGTCTCTGTACCTCGATTCAGCGCCGCTCGTGCATGGTAAGAGCGAGCGCGAAAAAGAGAGGCGGACAAAGAGGGTGAGTTACGCCGGCGAAGGGAAGACGACGAAGGGAGAGAAACGCATTCGCCTTCGCACGCTGGAAGGAAGAACTCCTTCCGTCTTCACCTGCTGATGATTTGACTTTATAATCGAGTCAGCCTCGTTCAATTACAATGGAATCTCCCGTGGAATTTGTCGCAAACAGTGCGCGCGACTCAGCGCGCGCGCGGCCCGATCGTGCTCCGGTAAATATTCGCCCGGTTGGCGAATACTCCGCCGGATGCATAAGCCGTACGCGACGAATGATTTTCGAGCTCATGATTAATTCACGGTCGGGGAGTGTCGTTAGTAGCGCACGAAAGAGGAAACGCTGTTTAACCGCTGCGCTGTCGGACGGACACTCGCCGCCTTCGTCTGAAGTGTAGGTGTGCTCGGGAAAATATCGGGTATGTAACTAAATAATAACATCGCGTTAATTACGCGCGATGTGTACAATGTCGCCGGTGCGATGTCCGGCTGGTGCCATCGCGCCGGCGATGTAAGCGATACCGGTGTCATTTGCGTAATGGTATTGATCATTATTGCTCGCGCAACGCGCAGGTGATATATCGATAACAGTTTTATATTACCGTGCCGTATTACCGCGAAATATCTTCTTCACACAAATGATATTCGCGTATCGGTATCGGTATCGGTATCGCAGAAACATTATAACCGCGCGCGCATCGGCACGAACTAATTCGGGAACGCCGATTATTCACTAGCCCGATTATTGCTCCGACAGATTTTGACAAGTCTCGACAAATAACGCGTTTCACGGCTATATCGCCGAGACGTACTCGCGCGTAATAATATTCGCGGTGACGTTGCCCGCGGTAACCAGGGATCGCTATGAAATATTTATCAGGGTGCAGGCTACGCGTTTCACGTCGACGGCGACGGCGGCGCGGCGGCGGGCTGATATTCAATTGAAAATAGGAAATCGGGACTCGTGCCGGCCAAGCCTGTTTTCCTAAATACCGGGGAATGCTTACCGAGCAAACACATCCGGATGCATACGATCGGGGCGCCGTATGGATCCGTATCTGATCTCAATATTTTATGCTAAAACTACCGGAGAATTTGATCACACGCGCGAACGCGTACGCCGCCGCCCGTCGCTCATCGCGCGGTTAATGTATTCATTAGGACGACGGGGAGGATGATATTGTATCCCCCGCCGCCCGCACCGGTCATCCCGCGGCCGTCATCCGACGGACGGAAATATCGTCGCAATTTTTCGCAACATAAATTACGGCGGCGCGTTAAGCTCGATCGTCGCGATTTAAATTCATTCGCGTCGGCGAAAAGAACCGCTAGTTGAACCCTCCCCCCTCCCGTCCTTCTCGCCCGTCGGTATAATTTCATTGCTCTCTGGGATAACAGAAGGGTCGAAACCTCGGACAGGGAATGACGAAAAAAAGAAAGAGAGAGAGAGAGAGAGAAATTCTATCTTCGCCGCCGTGCACATCGCGCATTTTTTCCCCACATATTCACCGCACAGGAGCATTCGGCGAAATGTATCTCACCGAAACGAAGCCGCACAGTCGTTAAAAGGATAAAATTTTTTCGACGATAGCAAAAATATGTTGATCACGGCCGCGACGATTTTCTATCCGTCGCGTAGTCCCGACTCGCGCTCGCAATCGCATTTGTCGCTTCGCAGCGCTTCGATCAGGCTAGCGAAGTAAAGCTCGTTTCGGAATACCGACGGCGATGCTCAAGCGCGCTATCGAAATCGGCCGACTTATCTGCGAGCGCGGTGTTGAAAGTGTCGACGGTGATTGTTCGTTCGGTCGGTCGAAAAAGCGGCAGAAGGGCCAGCGTTCGTTGCCAGCGTTTTCGAGCTGTAGAACCGCCCGCGTCGACCTGCCGATCGTGTCGGCGCAAGCGAAAATAAGCGCGATCGCAGTACCTAATGGGTGCGTCACGCTGACCGCAGATAACACGGTTGGATCGACCGCTTGTGAATAGTTGAACGAGTACAGCGGTGATTTTCGGACGGCGGCCGGAAGCGCGCCTTTTGATGCCCGTTATAAACGTTCAATCGGTTAGACGCGGCCGGGGCTTTTACGCCGCGCACAAATCGCGTTTTAACGCTGCAGCGAGCACGCGGCGCGTTAAAACAGCGCTGCGGAATCGCGCGGTGTTCAATTAAAATACGCAACAAATCGACGCGTCGGCGAATGTCGATTACGCGATAGAAGAATAATGCGAGCGAGCGAGCGAGCGAGCGAGCGAGCCTGCCCGTCGACGGCCGCTTTTATTCCCATAATTTTCCTTCCGCGCGATTTACTTTTGCGACACGTAATATCGCGTCGTATATCGTATCACGGCTCGACGGGATAAGGGATACGGGTAAGTACCGATACTTTATGAAGCTGCAGTAGCTTACGGTTCTCTGTCGGCGTGAGCGCGAGCGAGCGAGAGAGAGAGAGAGAGAGAGAGAGAGAGCTTTTATATCGCGCGAAACGCGAAACGCGACGTGTCGCGCGTGTCGACGTTTTTCGTCCGGAAATGCGCGCGAAACGTTTTATTTCGACAGAATCTGTAAGCCGGCAATCACCGTCGACGTGTATTTGCAGTCAGTTTAATGCGACGCTATCGCGCCGCGTCTATCGGCATATTCGGCAGACAACGCGCGAGGAAAATCGATGGCGCCGCGTTGAACGTACGCGCGCCGCTATGTGTTTGTCGTTTGAGGGCCATTTGCCGATTAGTCGAAGATTTCGCGAGACGTTCAGTCACTCGGCCGACTAGCTTCTGCGCCGGACTGACTCTTTCGGCGACGCTTTGGCCGACTTCGTTTCTCTCGGTTGTTTCGGGAAGAGCAGAGGAAAAGGGAGGGACAGTTTGCCCCATGCACCTCGTATGTATACGAACGAATGTGCAGTTCTACCATCTCGCAGCCTTTATCGGATGGATGTTATTTAAATGTCGGGCGATAAGATCTGGAAAGCTCACTTCGAATATAAAAGCGCGCGCGCGCGCGCGATTCCCGCTCGTCGAATTTGCCTTGCAACACAGTCGTGTCTATTCCTCGTGTTTTCAAACTCGACGGTATATCCTGCCTGCAGCGCTATCGTTTTCTCCCGTTCGCGAAGTGGCCGCTGCTGAAATCTCCCGCCGAGATTAAATGACTTCCAGTTGTTCCATAGAATCTTAATGTCGGAGGGTGCTATTCTCTCCCTCCCTCCCCCCTCCCCCCCGCACTCTCCCCCTTTCTCTCTGTCTCGCTCTTCGCCGGAGAGATACAGCGCGCTTCCTACGAAACGGCTTCAAGTAGGATTTAATGTTTCGTGAAACACGGGGTACAGATTAAAATGCCTTAGTACGGATTTACCTCTGCAGTATTAAGCGCGATTTTCGAAATATTTGTACTCGCTCGAATGAGCTCGGATTAAGAGACGGAGAACGGAGCGCGCATAGTCTTATCGGGGCGTTTCCCTTCTTCTTAGATATTCGTAAATCCTCTTTCAGCGGGAATTAGGTTAATTGAGGCGGCGAGCAGAGTGCACTGTTCCGCGCGCGAAAAATTGCGGATATTGATCGCGCTCTCATGACCGCTGCAACATTTGGAAAACGAAGCGCTGCGAACGCGGTAAACGCCAAATTGTCTGATTCGACGCGAGTGCTCTTCCGGATGTGCTCTTCAATTGTTCAGCTTAGCTTTGATTAATGCGAGCAAATTTGACTCTCGTTATTCGCTCGACGCGATTCTCTCGGCAGTTCCGGACGATCGTCCGATTATCTCGCGCACTTGATCGAAAACTGCAAAATATCGACTCGCGAGCGTCTCCCTATTGTATGTACGACGCGTTCGAACGGCAGGCAGCGCCGCGGTCGATATGCCGTGTGAAGTTAGCCGCTGACGCATGCGCGCGACGTGGCGAGTCTCGAGCAACTTCGTGACAGTCCACAGTGGCAGTCTAGCAGCGCGAGGTGTTGTTGGGTTTGTTTTTTGTCGCTTGATCTTACCGCGTCGATCTCGGAGAAAAGCACGTACCTAAATGTAAACGGTAGCGAGGCCGTTCTTGAAGGATTCGCTCATTGCTCTTGCGGGCAACCTAGGTAAACATTCACGCACCTACGGAATTCCCCAGTGATTTCGTGTAAAGCATTTCGACACACAGTGAAACACACAGTCAAATTAATGTTTCGTCACGTATCTATTTCAACCTTGACCTTCGATTGACAGCATTATTTTTGCCTCAATAACGTACGCATCTCGGTTTCTGCAAGTTCGTATATTCCTGCGAATTTCGTGTGGAAACTGTGTTACTCTGGCAATCCTAACCTATACGTTCAAGTAATATTGGCTGCGTTCAATCTCAAAGTCACGCGTTATTCCGACGATAACAGTCGCTTTTTTGCAACAAATTCTACACGAGGAATATGCCAGAGTAGTCATCGCTAGTGTTTGTTTAAACGGATCTCGAGGCATTTTGCTGACACCTTTAACCTCTCTTTATTGTTTTTGCTTGCAGACTGAGACAAGATGTCGACGTCGGCGATATACATTTTGGATGTGAAGGGTAAGGTGCTGATCTCACGAAACTACCGTGGCGACATCGAGACTGGTGTCATAGAAAAGTTCATGCCACTGGTGATGGAGCGCGAGGAAGAGGGCAATCTCACTCCTATCATCCAGACTCCAGAATGTACATACGCATATATAAAATATAACAATCTGTATATCGTATCCACTACGAAGAAGAACGCCAACATATCCCTGGTGTTTGTGTTCTTGCACAAGGTGGTACACGTCATGCAGGAATACTTCAAAGAATTGGAAGAAGAGAGTATACGAGACAACTTTGTCGTCATCTATGAGCTCTTGGACGAGCTGTTGGACTTTGGTTACCCTCAAACCACTGACAGTAAAATTTTGCAAGAGTATATTACTCAGGAGGGTCATAAACTGGAAATTCAACCCAGAATCCCCATGGCTGTGACTAATGCTGTCTCATGGCGGTCAGAAGGTATCAAGTACCGCAAGAATGAGGTGTTCCTCGACGTGATAGAGTCGGTGAATCTCTTGGCGAACGCCAATGGCAATGTCCTGAGCTCAGAAATCGTAGGTGCCATAAAGATGAGAGTCTACTTGTCAGGAATGCCAGAACTCAGGCTGGGTCTGAACGACAAGGTTCTGTTTGAGTCGACCGGCCGCGGCAAGTCCAAGTCTGTGGAGCTGGAGGACGTCAAGTTCCACCAGTGCGTGAGACTGTCACGTTTCGAGAACGACCGGACGATCTCGTTTATCCCGCCAGACGGCGAGTTCGAGCTGATGTCGTATCGATTGAACACTCACGTGAAACCCCTCATATGGATCGAGTCCGTGATCGAGCGGCATGCCCACAGCCGCGTCGAGTACATGATAAAGGCGAGGTCGCAATTCAAGCGACGTTCGACGGCGAACAATGTGGAGATCGTGATACCGGTGCCGAACGACGCTGACTCGCCCAAGTTCAAGACCACAATCGGCAGCGTCAAGTACTCGCCGGAGCAGAGCGCCATCACCTGGATCATCAAGTCGTTCCCGGGCGGTAAGGAGTACCTGATGCGAGCGCACTTTGGCCTACCCTCGGTCGTCGGCGAGGACGTCGAGGGCAAACCGCCCATCCAAGTGAAGTTTGAAATTCCATACTTCACCACGTCGGGTATTCAAGTACGATACCTGAAGATCATCGAGAAGAGCGGCTACCAGGCGCTACCGTGGGTGCGCTACATCACCCAGAATGGTGATTATCAGCTGCGGACGAATTAGCCACTCGGCGCCGACGCAGCTTACGGTCATCATCATCCCGGGTTTTCTCCGGCGTCTCCGTTACTCTCGGCTGCGACAAGTAGCCGGTGCGCGTAATGTACGTTTTCCCGAGGTATTCAGAACCGATAATTGCGCTACTGCTATTACCGCTGCCACCACCACCGCGCGCTCCCACCTTTTACTCCCTCGAGATTCATCGCGACGCGCGAGAAGGCGCGCGCGCGCGCGCGCTTAAAAGCGACCGCTTCTCGAACACCGGCCTCGCGAGTTTCTTCTCGGTTATCCTTTCGGCGAACACACATTCCGCGGACTCAACGTTGCTCTGGAACCGCTCGAGGTGATCGCGAAGTGAAAGATCCTGAGCGCACGCGATATCGCGAATTCGAATCCGAGACTCGCTCACGCTCCTGAGAGTACTTAATTCAGACAACGCTCGACTCGACATCGAGTCTACTTTCTACACGCGTATATTTCCCAATTTATTTTTCTAAACACGATAACCCTTCTAATAAAGAGACGACTTCTAATAAAGAGAAAAAAAATATCGTTCCTCCCTCCGCGCTCCCGCAATACCCGCAATGAGAGATCGTACGAGAGAATTGGGAGTCATTTCGTAACACGTACGTTTGGCAAGGCGAGTTTACGGACAGAAAGCGTTTGATATGTATATGTATATGTAAGTAATAAATAGACACTAAATAGAGTATTATATCGCTAAGGATTATACATATATATATATATATATATATATATTACTTGTATGTGTCAGTATCACGATTCTCGATCGTACTGTAATCACTGTACATCCCTACGATAATAATGTGAGGAACATCATGGAGATACGTAAAGAGTTTTTAATAGAAATCCTACGGAGACTCCACGAGTCGGTCGATCGATTCCCATCGCTTCCAATTGTTTCCACTCTAACCGTAATAATATCGGTTCCCCGTTCGTCCCGTAGGAACATTCCTATTCCTCGGGAAATCGAAGATTGCCTCGTCGCACCGCGCGCCGCGTATCGAGAACGGCAAAAGTGCGCGCGCGCGCGCGCGTATTCGAGGGAGGGCGCGAGAGAAGAGAATAATAAAAAAAAGAGAAAACGATAAATATTCCACGAGAGCTCGTGTCTGCCGTTCGCGCGATGCAGGGACGACACGAAAACGCGATTAGAGCGAAATGGTGGAAGCCGAAACCTTTTTATTCAGCTTCTCCCTCCTCCCTTCCTCTCTCTCTCTCTCTCTCTCTCTCTCTTTCTCTTTCTCGCGACGCCGCTGAACACTCGCGCTCGGCCCGAATGCTCGCGGTATGCAAATTTTTTGGCGAGCGTACGAGCGTGTAATAATTTTATGGAAATCCCCGCCAAGTACACTCATACAGAATTTCGCGCGCGAGCGCGAACGTGAGAGGCGAATCGGCGAGGCAAAATACGGAGAGGAAAAGGGGGAGAAGAAAGAAGAGAGAAGGACGAGAACGACGACGCGCCTTCGTGTGGCCGGATCGCATCAAGGAGGAGGGGGGGGGGGAGGGAAGTGACGGCCCGCGCGCTTATCTGTATTCATCGGACGAATTTTCTTGATCCTTTTTCGCTCAGCGCGACGACGAGGGCCCGCCGGAACGCAACGATGGCGCGCGGATAACGGTAATGTTCGGTCGCGCAGATAGTAATCGGCCTGGGGGTGGGCGAAGAGGAGGGGTTGTTACGAGTGAATTAACGGGTCCGTGCTTGCATTCGTGCGGCAACGTGCTCGAAGCTCGGCTCGAGGCGCGTCGGGAACGAGCGATACGAGGAAAGTGTCGGTAACGACTTGTCGAATGTCGAGAGAACGTGGCCGCGTGTGATCTTTCCCTTTTTCGCACAAGGTTCCACTTGAATTTCTTCTCTTCAGCCGCCGCGCCGCGCCGCGCCGCCCCGCTCGCTCACACTTCGTGTTATCTTTCCATCCGGCATATTTTTATCACGTTTGCCGCACGCACAGCGACGAGAGATGATCTCCCTCCGCCGGGTTGGGAAAAATCGATGAGAGGGGGAGCGATACGATGCGCAGCGCGCCTTCGGGCGATATCGGAGAACGCTCTCTGTTTCTAAGGAGGCCGCGTGCAAACAACGATAACGGTAACGAGCAGTCGACCGGTGTAAATATTGGTGGCTCCGGTCCCCGGTATCGTAATTAACGCGTTAGATCCGTTCAATTAGATACCGAGAAGGCGAGCGCGGGCTGTTGGCGCATCGCAGCACCGTGCCGTCGCATCCTACCGACGCAGGTGAAGTAAACGGAGAGAGGAGAGTGAGAGAGTGAGAGAGAGAGAGAGAGCACTCATCGTCGAACCGAGAGTCTCGAGCCAGGAGGAAAAGTAGAGACTTGAGCCGGGGATTTAAATTTTCATCTGATCGAACGCGAAGAAGAAGGAGAGACGAAGCGAAAATTCCGGCGATCCGTCTTATTTTAATCCGCAAATCGAACGACGAAACTTGTCGGCCACATCCGTGATCATGTTCGATTAACCCGCGATATTCTGTCCTATATTTATCGTAACACGTCACATCACAGGTGCAACATCGCGGGAAGTTCTCGCGTTGTAACAGAATGATATCAGACTGATCTATCATTCCTCTGTTCAATTCTCGTGGGAAGTTCGGGCATTAAAGAGGAAGATACAGACGTCGAAAAAAAATAGCGAGTCGGTATTGTCCACTTTATTCGCGAGGACGATCGACCCTGCGAAATTGGATAATTGGCTTTCCCTTTTATTCGACAAACCCGACAGACCTTTCGCACCGGCCGTAAAATGACGCGGATATCTCGATATCGCGTTTCCCGGTGATATGCCAGACGAGGAGACGCGGAACGTTCATCGTAACGACGCGCTCGTGTTATCGACTCGCCCGCGAGGATCCCGGCCTCGGGATTTAGCCCGACCGCGTGTATCCTGCCGAGCGAGGGATCCTGTCGGGCGGGAAAGGCCGGGAAAAGGACTCGAGTCTCGGGAGCGGTCGCCGCCGCGGAGTGGAATTCGGGTCGGGTAAAATTCCCGGGGATTCGTCTCGTTTCTCGCTCGCGTCGCGTGCCGCTAATAGAGAAAGCAAATTTAACGGCGTCGCCGAGGAAATCCGACTGGTACTCGATCGCGAAGTGCCCAGAGAGAGAGAGAGAGAGAGAGAAAGAGCGGGGGGTAATGAGATGCGTTGTTCGGCGGCTTGGTGCGAAGGGGGAAAGCTCCGGGACTTCCCCGACCGTTCGTAGCGCACTCCCGGGACGCTTCGTCGGTCCTCCTCGTCGCCCGGATTCGACGCGACTCTCCGGCGAGGAGAGGACGATTGAAAGTTGTAGCGGTGGCCGGAGAGAGCGGCCTCGCGAAAACTCCCGTTCGTCGTCTTCGTCGCCGGGACCAAGACGCTCTTGCTCCTTTCTCGCCGACTTTCTGGCGCGATCTTTCTCTCTCCCGCGACCCCGCGAGGTGATATTAAAACTTATCCGGGAAATATACGCGCCCGTCCGTGCGCGCCTAGTACGAAGGAAAGTTTCGAGAGAGGGAGATGGAGAGGGAGAGAGAGAAAAAGAGAGAGAGAGAGAGAGAGAGAGAGAGAGAGAGAGAGAGAGAGAGACTCGCATTAACGAGCCATCGCGGAAACACGCGGATCAATATCGATTCTATATGTGCGTGTGTGTGTGTGTGAGTGTGGGTGTGTTATTTGTAATAGCGATGCGGAGCAGCGCGAGAAGAATCCCGTAATTTAGTCCGCTCGAGCGTCGAGTATCCTCTTCTTCATCTACCTCTGCGACTCCTCTTCCTCTTCGTCCGCCTCCTCTTTCGCCGGCTCACAGAAATGCGCGAACTTGGGCGACTCGTCGTTTAGCGTTTAACGTTAACTGCGACCGAGCCCGCGCAGTTCGCGCCGGATTTACGTTGCCGGAGCACCGAGCGCGAATCGCGAGCGCTGAAACGCTCGGCTAAATGCGGCGACGGCGACGGCGCGGCGTTGGTGCGCGAGCTTTATTATACGCGCTCAGAGACGACAGAGAGAGAGAGAGAGAGAGAGAGAGAAAGAGAGAGAGAGAGATACAGACGTCGATGGTACAGCAGCCGGCAGATGAGATTACGCGGCCGGCGCACTCGACGTTTCCGATATCCGAGCGGGGGTATGGCTTTTGATATTTTCCGGCGTTGCGCTGAAAAGTGGGGAAAACGGCTTTTCATCCGCTAGCGCTGTAATTTACATCGCGTGCGTATCACCCGACGGCCGCCGCCGCCGCCGCTGTTGCGCGCGACGTATTATAAATATGTCCGCGCATCAAACACAAACACTGGCATCTTCCGTCCGGGACGGGAAATGATATTAAAATAATTTCATTTGCAGATATATTCCCGGGCTAATTATATACCGCGGGACGCTCCCCTCCTATCTGCATAATAACATGCGCGCGAATGGAAATATCGAGCCGCTATAAAATCAATTATCGCTGATGATATTAATCACCAATTATACTCTCTCTTGTAGACCACCGCCCCCGCCCGCCCTCCGCGGCCTGTAGCCCCCCGGTAATCGCCGGCCGCACCCGCTCTTTGATTCTCCGGTCGCTCGCGGTCGGCCTTGGGATAATTGTGCGAATAGCGTCGCGCAACGCGCGGAAGATTCCACGGCCGGGAATTTTGTGATGAGACTTCGGAGACTTCTGAGCGGAATAAAAAAGCTCGACGAGATATCGCATAGCTGAGTTCTCGCGGCGTTCTCGCAGCCCCTGCAAATTGTTATCGTGACTCCGTTCCGCGGGAGCGGCTGAAAATCGCGCGATTTTCCGGCTCTTCGCCGCTTTGCCGGAAGGCCGTCGCTCCGGCATTCCCCACGAGGCGAAGCGTCTGAACCGCGCGAGAGAGCGAATAAAACGCGCGAGCGCTCTTCTTTTTCGAAAACGCACGGACGCTGCATATTCATCGCACGTACGCGCGTGCGCGCGCCCGGCTACTGTATTAGTCGGTGACGATAATCTTTTTATTATTCGCATAGGGGTGTACAAAATGCACTTTCATTGTGTTCCGCGTCCGCGGAAACGCAGCGGTAACGTGCGTGACCGCGCTTAACGTTAACACGTTCGCCGCCAGGCTTTCATCTGGGCAACCTTTCCCTCAGGGAACCTCTCTCTCTCTCTCTCTCTCTCTCTCTCTCTCTCTCTCTCTCTTCTTTTTTTCAACGTAATTGTGTAAAATAGACCCGGTCTGATAATGCGCGGACGCGGCGAAAAAGAATTTTCACTGTCACGCGTGCGTGGGTGGTATTTTGGTCTCTCGTGAGAGATCGCTGCATATTTTTTCTTCTCACGTAAAATGGCGCGCAAAATAGACGCGGTTTGACGACGCGGACACGGGGGGACGAATTTTTGGGCTGAATTATTTTATTCACCAAACGAAATGTATACGTTACTTTTTAATGAAAATATTTTCCCCCGCTTTCTACCAACCTTCCGCCATCTGTCGGGCAAAAGGTAGATTCCACGTCGGAAGAACGCGGCATCTTTCGATGCGATGAATTCATCGACTCATTCTCGGACATCGGCCTCATTTTCGAAACGCGTGTGCCAGAGAGACCGTGCTGCATCGACCGGAATAAATGATAATCAGAAGGCGCAATGTCAGGCGAGTACGCCGGGTGAGGTAGGACTTCCCATTCGAGCTCGAATAAAGTTTGCTGGGTCGCCGCAGCGACATATATGG